TTTTCGCGGGAACGAGTTGGCCTGCGTTCTCTGAAACACCCGTATATATAAAACTCAATCTGTGAAGGAGGCCTCCGCCACTAAATTGTAAACGCCCTCCATGGTTTAAGTTTGCCACTCTTAAATCTGGGCTCTCCAGTTCACAGTCGTGACACGTTTATGGCCCTTTGTAGAAATGCGCTTTCGGCGTCTACTAAATCACTTCTTGGGTTTGCAAGGCCCATTGTTAAGGGCCGTTTTTTGTTTTTGTTTTTTCCTTTGCAAGTGCTGAAAGCCGTGGTCATTGTCGCCTCCATTTAGCTTCGCAAACACTGCCGTAGCCAGACCGCCCGGACGGACGGTGCAACGTCTGATGGATTTGGCAGCAGATTAGTACAACGCTGGCTGTGAGTTCGGGGGACCGCAGACGCTGGGTCTAATTACCGGAATTCTTCGTCGCTTTCGCGCGCTGATGTATACGACGCCCCGACGCGTAGGGTTTTCGCTCCGCGTCGAGGATTCATGTTTCTACATTCTGGTTCCATTGTATCCTGGGATTTCTCCAAAGCGGGGACCGTCTCGTTACTCTTTGCTTCGTGAAATAAATGAAGTCCCGTACGTTTTATTCGCGGGTGGCATTTCGCCTGCCAATTTACTGGTTTTAATTATGAGCGCGAGTTATTACGAGCGAGCCTCTACTGCGAATTTAGCGGGCCATGTATGCCGGGCCGACGCTCCACTGAATGCTGCATATTTCGTAAGCTGCTGGCCATGAAGAGAACCATCAGAGGCCCAGCGATGGGCACTGACAACTACGAATAAAACAGACAAACACCTTCTTTGACGTTTGCATTTGGCAAATCTCACCATCTCATTGGATGCGAAGGAATTCGATGATCTACACTTGCCATGCCTTGAGTGTCTTATGTTGTCGGTTACTGTAATATCAGAATATATACTTCCGTAACCCATTAAACTGATGTTTTACACACACACACACACATATATATATATATATATATATATATATATATATATGTATATATATATATATATATATATACCTACCGAAAAATCCGGTATAACTTTTCACTCTCCGGATTATGGAACCGGAAATCTGTTACTGGAAACCCGAAATCCAGATTGCAGACAAAGGAATAATTTCTGAAAACCTCAATTCCAGATAGAGTCCGGATATAATCCAGATAGATTTCTGGTTCCATAATCCGGATAGCGAAAAGTTATACCGGATTTTTTGGTATATATATATATATATATATATATATATATGTGTGTGTGTGTGTGTGTGTAAAACATCAGTTTAATGGGTCAACGAACGTGTATATATATATATACACGTTCGTTGTGTGTTTCTGTATCACACATTACGGCTTCGGTTAAATATTTCTGAAAAAAAAGAAGAAAACTACCTCACCTCTAACTAGATATAAATTTAAATATAAATTATTTTCAGGTAGTTGGCATCACACATTGTCTGCGCTCAATTTTAGTTTAAAAGTTTTTTTTTCATTCTGCTGCACAAGTATGTTTTAATACGAATGAACAATCAGGAATAAGCAAACCCCTTGCAAAAGAAAACAAAAACTACCACGCATAAACATAAAACTATGAGAATCAAAGCAAAAATATAAATAAAACACTACCCCGGGCCATAATATGAAAATAACATGTATCCGTCTTGTATTCCTGATAGAGGCCACTACGTCAGACGCAACTTCATTAACATTCACGTGGAGGGCCAATTTGTAGAAAGGAAGCCTCTAGTGGTTCGATAGGAGGGCTAACGTATGGCCGCCGAGAAGTGCCACAACTTTCGTGCGCATGCATAGAGTTACCACCGACATCGACGTTAAGGTGGACGCAATTACTTTCTAGCGCCCCCTCTGAACGCCCCCGTCAACTAGTGGCGTGTCCCTGCGCCATTAGCGCCACCTTCTTCTTCACACGATGACTTCTCCTTACGCTCCAATCTTTTCTTTTTGCTTACTTTTTGTTTCTTTCGAACGTTGCGCAAACGAAGTGCGCGAAACCAGAAATAAAAGGAAAAAAAAAAAAGGCGAAATGGCGTCAAAACCATTCGTTGTTCGGCATAAATCACAGCGTAAGTTTCTACACCCTCGTGCCAAATTTAAGACTCACAGCGATGACAAAAGAGAATAAGCAAAAATTAAACTCTCGCGTTTTCTTCGCCTTCTCTTTCCATTCCAGTCACTTCTTTGCGTAACATTTTCGTGTATTCCCTTCTTTTAAAATGCGTCAGGTTTGATGACTTCTTTTTGCGTTCTAATGTCTGCTATTTTGGAGGGCAAAGAAGGGGTGGGGGGCTGGCTTTGCCCGGAAATTACCCCTTCTCAATCCGAGTCTTTCGGACTTTGAGAAACTCGATGGATGGTTCGTGTTGAACCACTCACTCCGGATGGCGAAGGATTCGGGGCCTGTCACGATTAACCTTTGGTCAATAGCGAATGGACAGTCGCGACTCGATATTTGGAGCTGCATTTCGTGGACCGGTCAATCGTCACAACACCGCAAATGGCTGGGTTTGCTTCTTTTTTTTTTTTTCCAGAGTGCTTGAGTGTTTTTGGATAACCGATGTCGAATGAATTAAAAGATTTCCCGATTCGAAATCATCGCATATTGTTTACGCGTCTTTTGTTAATGGTCCGAATACACTACAGATAGCGGAGCTTCCAACAACGTTAATGTGCTCTCCTATAGTACCACATACAAATAGTAAAAACTGGATATAACAACAGCAACCAAAATGGAATTGCCAACTCATTATTGTTTTCTTTTTTTGTTTCGTTTTTGCGAACGTCAAAGAGTAGTGATTTAGGACACACAGCTGCTTATTTCAGTATTTTATAGTCCCCTTCAGATTATTATAGTTTGCTGATATTTCGATTCTTGACGTTGTGATACTGTTAGTCTCAATAACAGGTTTTCAATCCAGTAGTATCTTATGGTCCAGCATATGAAGGTGTAATTTCGAGAGGCGTTTATTTTTGTTTTATATTCAATTTCGTACTTTTTATAGCGTACTTAAATTACGTTACTTGAGTGGCCATTTATATTGTACTGCTATTAGTTCCAATGACAGGCCTTCAGCTGAGTAGTATCTCATAGTCCAGCAAACTTATGAAACCCATAATTTATAGTAATCTTATTGCTCACTTGAACGTAGGTATTTTTTTTTATCCGAGATCAGCATGTGTTTCGTTCTGGAGCATGCTGTGGCACTGTGCTTGACGTTTCCCACTTTTTGGCGGGCGCCATGGATACTGGGAATGAAGCAGACTGACTGTTTTTAGACTTCAAAGAACCGTTTGATCTTGTAAACCATGAATTGCTAATTTACAAACTTACCTTACTCGCCATTGAAAATATTGTTTTAGGTTGGCCCCAAGGCTACCCGAGAGAACGAAAGATCTGCGTTTCGCTAAATGGTGAGAAGTCCCATTACGTTGTTGTTACATCTGGTGTTACTCAGGATTCTGTTCTGGGGCCTTTGCTCTTACTGATAGATATAAACGATATTAATTATAACATATAATCAAATATAATTCTCTTTGCAGACGACTGCATTATTTATAGTGTAATAAATGATTTGAATTATGTAAAGTTCTTAGAGGCCGAACTTGACAATATTTCAATGTAGTGCAACAATTAAAAAATTAATCTGAACGTTAAAAATTGTGTTCTCGTGAGATTCACTCAAAAGAAAAGCTCCATTGGTTCTACCTGCATAATAAGTAGTGAAATAATCCAGGCTAACTCAAGCACGAAACACTTGGGGGCCATTCTGTCCCGCAATTTAACGTGAAAAGCTCATATGGTAAGGTTAAGTCTAAAGGCTATACGCATGGTAAATTTTATACGATGAACGTTTCAACATGGCTCATGGAAAATTGAAGAAACTTTGTACTTTACGTTTATTCGCCCATGTATTGAATATGCAGCAGTTGCGTGGAATCCCCACAACAAAAACCTAATAGAAAAACTTAAAGAAAGTAGGGAATCAGTGAGCTAGATTTGTTTAAAATGATTACCAACACGGGGCCGGTGTCACAAGCAGGAAGAAGAATTTAAAATGGGTATCACTAGTCAAACGCCGAAAAATGTTTAATTTAAATTTTTACATGATACATAAAAAATCGCCTTCTAATTAGTGGAGAAATGTTCTTAGCGGGACCTTTAATTATATCAGGGAGGACAGACCACCAGAACAAAATTCGACCTTACTTTTGCCGTACAAATGTTTTTTTTGCGTTTTTTTTAATATTTTCCGAAAACAATAGAAGAACGGAATAGGTTGGCTATTGAAGGATGTGTTCGACGTTTATACAAGGTTGTTTGTGTTTAGATGTTTCTGTTAGAAACGAATGTGTTTCATGTGCTCAACCCTGCTATAATGCAGGTATTCATGTAACTACATAAATAAACAAGGAGGCGTAATTTCAAAAGGCGTTTACTTCTGCCTTTCATTTCAGGTTTTTTAGCTCATTTATATTTCGTTACTTGAGTTGGGATTTATACTGTACTACTTACTATTATTTCTGATGACAGGCTTTCAGTTGAGTAGTTGCTTATGAAGTTATGGTCCAGCATAAAAAGGCGTAATTTCGACAGGTGTTTATTTCTGTCCTTCAAATTATATTTTATACTTTTACGGCTTACTTATATTCTATAACTTGAGTTGCAATTTCTATTGAGCTACTTTTAGTTCCAATGACAGGTTTTCGATTGAGTAGTATATTACAGTTCAGCATAAGAAGGCATAATTTCGACAGGTGTTTATTTCTGTCTTCTATATAATATTTTATACTGTTATAGCTTACTTATATTACGTTACTCGAGTTGCCATTTCTATTGTATTACTTTTAGCTTCAAAATCAACCTTTAAGCCCCGACAGAAACTAAAATATTGAGTGTTTGAATGCTGTTGCTAACAGCGCTGTTTTCAGTTAGATCTGAGGATACAAGGTTCAGCCAAGACTCACCATTTGTACTTCCGAGACCGTACTGATACTGATAATCTGCATAGTGACGCCGACTTCCACTGGAAGACCTGCAAAGAAAGGCATGTACTGTCTGAATATGGCGGTCCCACCACAGGCAGAAATTCAAAAAAAGGTCAGTAATCCGTCGCTGCAATTCGACATTCATGCCGCGCATCCGCCCATTCCACACTAAGCGCCCATTTCCCAAATTTGTAGGATCTAAGAAAATATCTACAGTACATTTATAGGTAAAATTGATGACCGGACAAGCGCCTATCTCCCATTTTCTCGCGCGATTACCTCCAAATTATGAGTGGACGCTCGCCCGGTATTTTACGGTAGTTATGGACACTTTAAAAAACGCAAAACGCGCCTATTATCAGCTAAAAAAAACATTGCCCCCCTCCCCCGTTTTAAAGAATTTTTTCTTCCACTAAAATGATCTACACTTTGCCGAACGCTCATTTTCCGCCTAAATGTAGCGCTAGCAGACATAACTGGATGCCAAAGTTTTAGCACTAACCGTTATCTCGCTTTAAAGTTATGTGATTTTCTTAAAAGTTTATTTAAAGGGGAAAATGACAGGCGGCCAACAGAGCTCTCCGACACACCTGTTACGGCGCCAGTTACCAAAAAGGCAAAAAGGGGCGAAAATGGGCCCCATTTTTCTATTGCAAATCTCACAGGATTACGTAAAACTTTTGAATAATGTAACTGTTTGTGCTGAAGCTTTGGCATCTGGTTCGGAACCACTAGCGCTACATTTGTGTGTGTGTGAAGGGGGAATGAGCGTTCGGTGAAACATATTTTCTTTTTGTGATAAGAAAAAAGGGAACACTAAACATTTTGTGTGACACGCAGCAGCACGATGCTCGGGAGTGCCCACGTCGTGGGCTCCCACTTAAGTTTTCAGAATCTATAAATAACTTCACATTAAGATAGACGTAGCTTACGAAACTCAGCAGCGAGACCTCTGCGTATACCTTATTCTTGCGCAAATTCAAGTTAAAAAAAAAACTTAAGACGCATTTTACTGTAAAAACAAGCCACAAGCCTAATATAATTTCATCGATTCGACATCAATCACGGACATCAGACATGTTATAGGTGATGGACGACGAACATCGCACTTGGTTTCCTGCAATTCAATTTAAAACTAGCCTTTTCTAACGTTATTCGAATTGCCTACCTTACCTTCGTACACCCAAAAGTTAGAAAATTTAGCGTCTGAGTGGCAAAACTATCTTTCTGGAGAAATAGAACTTGTCCAAAATAATACCTTTACGATTTATTTGTTTATTCTAAACACCAACTGAATAAAATTTTAAAGAGCGCAAACAAACAGGGACATCGAAGAAACACGAACGACAGGGCAGGCGCTTCACTCTCAACTGGTTCTTATTATCACCATCGTCACCTATAAACTATATATAAATCGCGCAAATCAGATCGCACTCGATCGCCACAATGAGGGCCAACCTTCCAGAAACACCATCTCACTTTGAAGCAAATACACAGTTGCAATACGCAATTGTTTTCTTTTTTTTTTAATGTACCATGCCTCTATAATTCCTTTTACCGTTTTGTTGTTTGCCTTTCTTAAAAACTTTGTGCCAGTCAGGTCAGGTTTACACCCACATCGCCTAGAATGGTCAGCGAGATGGCCCCCGCGTTGTTCCGCACACACAGATTATGTTCTCGTGCACTATCATTGAAGCAGCGCCCAGTCTGCCCAATGTAGACTCTGCTACAACTGAACGGAATCTCGTACACCACATTGCTGACACACGCAGTATAGTGCACCGCATGTTTCTTGGAACACTGTGCTTTTTTTTGTGCCTTGTCCACATCGGACATATCCTAGAAAGTTTATACGGCGCCGAAAAAAAAAAACACGTTAATGTCGTGTCAGCTAGCTAACTTTTTGAGATTACGAGACATGGTATGCATGTATGGAATGACTTGCACTCGTTTTCTTTTTTTACTTGGCTCGCTGCCTCTTTTTTCCTTCTTTTTAGCTTTTGAATTAGGCTCTCACAGACTAGAAATTAGGTTGGGGGAGTACCCCGCGTCTCTTAACCTTTTTAATTGTCGTTCAAAACTGATTTTCATCTGATGATTGCAACTTTTCTTCCAGAGCCGCACTTAGACATGCCAAGGCTATCCCCCTTTCTACCAGTTTAGAGTGAGCACTTTCAAACGAAACCAAGCTTTCTTTTGTGCGCGTACAATACTGCCAACAGACATGTTCGTCAGAAAAAAAGGATCAAAATGTCTAAAAACTGAATGCAGTTGTTCAAAGACAATTCCCAGGTAAAATTAAGTCCATCTGACACCTTCCTAAACACCTCGACAATCTTCTCAACCGTTTTCTCAAAACCCGAGTCTGTATTTAAAATTAAAAAATAGTCATCTAGGTATCTATACGTTTTTAAAACATGGAAATCTGCAAGCCCAAGTGAAATTCGCCGGTCCAGTGACGCCAAAAAAGTGTCACACAAAACAGGGGCAACTGTCGACCCAATGCACACACCAGACTTCTGTGCGAAATATGGCTCGTAAAAACTGACGGAAGTCGACTATAGATAAATGACTAGCAGCTCCAAAAAGAACGCTGCTAACGCCCGCGGAACTTTGAAATCTAACTTCTCCAGACTCGTTGATATTATCCCTAAAAACTTTGAGAAATCCATTGTGAGGAACGGAATAATACAAGTCCTCAACATCCACAGATATTGCAGTGACAGCATTCCGAAACCGACCTCTAAGTTCATTGACTATTTCAAGCGAGCTTTGCTCCAAAAAAAGTGCCTTTTAGCGCAAGAGTGTCCAAATGGCTCTGTAAAAACCGACTGATTTGAACCTTCCAAGTGTTCTTCTCAAACACAATGGCTCGAAAAGGACACTCAGGCTTGTGCGTTTTTCCCCTCAATTTTTTTTCCAAAATCCCACTTTCTGCTTTGTCTGCAACGTTCCTTAAACTCTCTAGGTTCCGTCCTATTAGCAACTTAATAGCCGCAGAGTTTTGAGACTTTGGTCGAAACTTAACTTCTTTGAAGTTCTTATCTGTTGCTCTTAATGCTTTTTTTTCTGGAACTGGCCCTTCGACATTACAGCAAATCCTCCTTTCTTATCGGCCTGCACAAACGAGAGTTCGTTGAACTTGAAAGAGTCCACAACTTTCTTAAAAGGTGGTTTTGCCTTAAAACGTCAATTCACACCAACGTTTCTGATTTGCGCTAGCGGGCGAAACTTCCAGAACTATCCTAAGGCGAAATATATTTCTATTAACACTGTTTTGCAGCATTTACCAACGTAATCCAGCACTTGGAAGCACATTATTTTCATCTGCCTTTTCGTTTATTTCAAGGTTAGACAACACCTTCAAAATAAAACCCATCTTCGTGTCCACCCCCTCCTATGTGAGCATTTAAAAACCCTTAGCAATAACATTACGGAACTCTTTGTTCGGCCGCATAGTAACTGCTAACAATATTGATACTTTTAGAAAGCAGACGAATATTTAGAATGTACTAGGTTTTAATTGAAGTGAACGCTCGTTCCTAGCCTACCTTTCGTATTTATAACTTTTTTTTTGCATATACATATCATTTTCAGTGTAAAACTTTTGTCGTTTTTGAGTGTATTTGATACTTACTTATACTATTGAAAATTTCAGCACCCCATTCCTTCTGCAATTACTTTTTATTGTAGGGCCGTCAAGGTATAATTCATAGATAAATAAGTAATAAACAAGATAAATAATAAAAAAATATAAATAAAAAAACTAATAGAAATACGGAAATAAACAAATAGTTAAATAAATAAAATTTTAGGACTAATTTAACTGTGACACCAGTATCAACTAGACTCAGTTTGTATTAATAACCTATGTACATATATGCTTAAAAATTTAGTCATACAAATTGTCATTGGTGAAACTATGGCACACCAACTGACAAAAAACAAAACAAAAAACAAACAAACACACACTTAACTTAGTTTGCAATTCAAGGTATATTGAATTGGAACTTCAATTTTCGCTCCAGTAAAGTTGCATCTACTGTCCTATAGAAATCGATAATTTGACTACTGTGCTATAAAAAGAATGGTACCAAAACATGCGGCAAGAAGACGTTGTAGTGTTCTAAACTGACTAATGATATACTAAGCGTTGCACTCACTGCCCCTTATATATTAATGCTGTGTTTTGAATTAACCCCCGACTTTAACAGCCACCCAGTAGTTTGGAATTTTTGACAGTTCAACAAACCATGATGGCGAAAGGGAGAAATTGAGCAAAAACAAAAATGCCGTCATTACCCACAAATTACATACCTCTCGAGACGTAGAACTCGTCCGAGACAATTGCTTGCCTTAAAGAGAAGGAGATATCCAACTCTCTTCTACAATTTCACCCGACTGCAGAAGCTAAAAAAAAAAAAAAAAAAAACACTCCCAAAATTGCGCGCACGCCCATACTTCAAGAGGGTAGGGAGCAACGAACAAAACGCGCCATCTTGAGGAAACTAGCAAAACGTTCAAAGGGCAAAGGGTCCGCTCGGTGAACGTCGGCCAGCTCTTCCGAAGAAACTGTACCAAGTAAGCTGTCACAAAGAAGAAAACAAAAGGCCAGAACCAAAGGACGCAAGCAAGTGTACTGCAAGCAACCGACAAAAAAACAACAGCGAGGAGTTCAAAACGACTAAAAGCGGAGTTGAGGAAACGAACCAGACTGGAAAGGAAACACTGGGCGAATAGAACGAAAGGGCCCTGCCTCACTCTCATAAGTTGTCCAACGGAACCGGCAGTTGTAGCCACGGCAGCTTTCGCGGAATGCCGAAGAAAACCCGATCAAGAGACGGGGACCTTTCTCTGCCGTTGTTCCAGCTGTACCACGTTCGTTACAGGGTGTGTTCGGTCCCTAGTGTTCCCTTCTTCCGTCCGCTAAGAAAAACCAGGTTCTTCTTGTGTTTCTTTTTCTTTGTCGTTGTTCGGATGATGATGATGATAACGGTTTGCTAGATTCCTAAGCGAACGGAGCCTGCTTCATTTCGAAGGAGCGCCT